AGGATACTACAAACAGACCTATTAACTGATTTACTACACAATTATTTTTTTAGAGTGAATTTTTGAACATTCCTGGAATTACAGGAACTCATTATTTCAACTAACATATTTTATTTAAATTCATCATTTTCCTGATGCTTATTAGAAAGGATAACAACATTCATTTAACAAGTAATTTTTGTAATAATATTCCAAGATAACTACAAGGAACTGTCGTTATTAGGAACGTAGATACTATACAATAATAGACTGGAAAATTACTGTCAAACTATTCGTTCTAATCTTGACGAATATTCGTATAGACTGGAAAAGAGATCATGTTTATTAAGAAAACACAGAAATGGGCATAAAAGATTACAGAGAATTTTCAAGATTTTTTGGCTAGTTTCGTTTGTTCATAACTTAGTATCCGACGGAGGTTGACAAAAGTTCATGAGAAACAGGTACTTGTTCTATCTATTGTAGTTTATAATACTCCCAGGTATGTACGTATTCAAATATATCGAAGATAAATTTTAAAACTTCTGAATTTGAGGTAAGACAAGTATAGTTTAGCCACTTAATAATTAGTGAACCCAATAAATTAAAATATCTGGTTTCTCTTTAATAAATTTCAACTTCAATAAAGCCAAAAATAAAAGGTATTTGAGCTAACAAATTTTATAAATCTGCTCTGAAAACTGACTAAGTGATTGTCAGTTCGTCATGAAAACATTTATGTACTTTCTCTTCATAAATCAGTAAAATTTCAGTGGTGACTTTTAAAGCATAAATAATCTAAATAAATGTATTTCCAACTTTCGACAACTTTTAACTGACAAAACCATTAAGAGCTGCCGACCATCAATAACTGCTAATAATAAATGGTGCGATTATTAAATAAAACTTAGAAAGATAATCAGTATATATAAGTTAAGCAGTGTTTACTAACTATGATCATGGCCATCGGAAGTTATTCTTCTCTACTTGACTTGTTCTGTATTCTCCTTTAGAATCCTAAAATATTTTCAAGATGTGCATAAGGAAGGAACTTATGATTGGTAAATGAAATCTCGTTTACTATGTAACGGTTCACGTTATCACACCTTCCAGTGATAGAAAGTTAAAAATAATATAAACCAGAAAGATACAACCGAGCAGTATGAGAACGGCTTTCTTAGGGACTTATTTGTTTTTAATATATACTTGAAATGTGCAAGAAAAATAGAGATTAAAAAAATTACAATTGAGAGAATAATAAAAGCCTTTATCCATGGACGATACATCAAAAAGATCTCCACCATCGATTTGGTCAAGTCCTAAATTTAAAAAAATCTGCAGCACCTTCATTACTGCATTTAGTTATTAGCTTTAAAAGTGTCTGTAAGATCCCACACATGGAAACCAGAACTACGAATTCTAACCAAACACAATCCTACCCAAATAGACCCATTTTCAACTTAGTAGTTATCATAAAAGCTACCGAGATAGCATTTACTAGGGCATTCAAAAACGAACAATAGAATACCAAGATCGACTAACTTGTCGAAATGCAAATTGTATGATGACGTAATATAGAATGAGACCATAGGATCGCCTATATAACGGTATCATAAGAGAATAAACAGACCTGAAGTTAAGAGAGTACGTGATTGTTGCATGCCCACAGCTCAGGTGACAGATTCCGAAAGGTGTAAAAGAGAACCGCATTTACTGAAGTGTGGATATATTTTGGAAGTAGACTAAAATTAAGATTGTTTCAAGTGACACAGATTAATTTTCACTGTAAGAAACCACATCCAGCACAGTTCTCCAGACTTTCAAGTTTACATCCACGAATATTTAGACTTCTGATAACTGTCTATCACAAGATAGACGGTCTTAGGTATGTGCTGGAAAAGTAACTCATGAGATAACGTGAAGTGCCACATTTACAAAACCCGATTGTCAGTTCCAAATTAGTTACAAACTGTATAAGAAACAGAATGATTCGTACTACAGGACCGGAGATCATTAATTTAATAACGATAGTAAATTTAAATGCAACACAGGGATAAATTACGGGATTAAGTGTTGGTCTTATGATAGCCTTCAGTAGTGCTAACGAAAAGAGTAGGTTTTACTCAATCTTTATTATGATACTTAATATCATGCTTGAAGCACATAGTACTGTCCGAAAATCAAAACTTCGAAAGAAGAGGAGAGCAGATACTTACCAAAAGGCCTAGTCCATAAGTCAATAGAATAAAGTTTTGCTGTAAAAACAGGTTTATAATCATAAGATTCCTACCACCCATATCTATCACCAGCTCGAAATCAGAACTTGTAACTATTCTGAACTAAACGTTTTTTATGAGTAGTTTGTCCATGACCGGCAATACATAATCGATCGCATGAGTATTTAGCACGACAGTCAATAATTGACGGAGCACTGACAACACCAGACTGCTTCTGCAACCAAGAGTTCGCCAAGCCTTGAAGATTCAACGTGGTACTTTTGTATATGTAATAAATAGCACGATCCGCCCAATTATTTTCTAAATAACGTTTACTTAATACACCAACTCACGATGCCATGACTGAAGTCGACATGGTTTCATTATGCGAGAGAAACAAGTCACAAACATTGGTAGGTATGTTGTGCACACAAGAACGAGTAACAGTTGAAATTATTTCGAAATCGATTATAACCTTATGATAGGGACATAACAGATGGGTTTGATACCGTTCCCGTAGCTTTTATTTATTGTTATTACCATGCAAATGAGATCGAAAAATTATTCAAATTTGATGGCTTATCTTTAAAGCAATATACATTTTGACGCAAATCATCCTACTAACTTAAATGAAAGTCTTGGTTACTACTTTGTACATCCACTCTTACAATTTGTTTAGACTAAACTACATATTGCCACGCGATCACAATCTTATCGATTTAACCTGGTTTAAGAAACCAATACTCAAAAACTGTTTAAATTGTCCCCATTCACTTCCAGATTATGTTTGACATGTTAAATATGTTCAGTCAATAGTATATCCAGATTCTTTAATTTTGTAATGAACAGGTGATATGATGAGCGCATGAAGTGGAAATATCTATAAACGGTGCTAAGAATATCTTAACTACCACCTAGCCAAACAAGCTATTGCTGTAAATATCACTTAGTCTTTACGCTATTTTTATGAAAGAATGCTAAATATCAAAGGTGGAGTTGAAAACTATACTGTAGTGCCCTCCAAATTTTACGAACATGGAAGCTTTACCAGTAATGGTAACTTCTGCGTAAATGGCAATCAACATGTCAATATGCAAATCAGTTGTAGTCATCGACCCAGAACATAAAGAAATTAATCCAAACTACCTATTAGACATAAATATACATACATGGAATCAATACAATTTTTTGAAGACTATCTTTTATGTGGGAACTTAGCGGCTAGGGCACACCAACACTTGAGATCAGTTCACCACCGGACATTCAGCTGAGCCGCGTAATCCAGACTCCGTACTTGTGGTTCGCGAGATAGTGTTAGGCTACAGTAAGGACCACAGGGTTCTCAACTGAAAAGCTCTCACGTAGTTGTTCACTTTTCTCTCCTGAAAACCGAAACAGTGTCATCCCATATTACCCCCAATGCGATTTTGTCACTTTTGAATTATATTTCCTATGTTCAGTTTATAAATGTCACCGTTGTTACTCTTTCACTTTGTGAACTGATGCCCGCTAATTTGTGAATCTGAGCCCGTTATTATTTGTGTCAGACCCTGAACTGGTTATGATTTCTAATATGGGAAGCCCTATATTAAGCTAGAAAACAAAACCTATTAATTATGAACAACTCAATAACGTATAACCAATACGGAAGACTTCATAAAATTCGCTTAATAAAACCAATCTGTAGAAACATACACAACCGCGATGACTGGTTTGTCATTGGACAAAAAATAAAGTGATTAGCACCTGAGGATATTCGTCTTGTAAGGTTACTTAGCACTCAGTAAACAAGGGAGCCTGACTGAATATACCTAAATACAATACTGCGCCCAGAATTAGTTAGTAAATCCTTGGGGATCGATGTGACAGAAACCAGTAGACCCCGAAAGATACCGGTTCCGGTCAAAATACGAATGAAATTCAAGTAGGAAAGCTTTTATATTAACAAAATTGATCGGCATCCGCTCACAACAATTAAGTTTTTTAGACAGACGAAGCCGACCATATTGGGGCAAGAATAAAGCGATGTTAACCCCACTCATCCTTTCGAACCCAAGTGGGTTTTTTTACGAACCTAATACTTCTAAGTAGATTTACCATCATATTAGTTTCTTATCATCTCAATTAAATATTGAATAACTGTGTGGGTCCCAAAATACCCTATACCTCTAGATCTACATAACATTTCGTTTTGTCCTCCTAAAAACTCCCCAATAGGTGAGATATCCACTAGTTATATCTGACTTGATATAGGGTGGATTTCATTTGGTTGCAACTGTCAAATCCTCATACATAGGGACTGGAAGTATGGCTTTAAACGAGCTCGAACACTTAAATGCTTTATGAGCTACCAGTGAAAGGATGGTCAGTATTAATTTGAAAACCTTGACTGGCGTCGGCCTATGACAACACAATTACCAAGACAGCATTACAATCATGGTAGTACTAAGTGCTCGACTAATGCACATTGGTTTTAATTAAACGCATGCACCGAGAGGACCACTCAATAAACTACGTAATATTACACGAGCAGAGGTTTACTCGGTTTCATTCAAAAAGCATTCTGAACATCACCTTAATTAGTGGAGCAATCATGCGCAGTCCTTAATATCCAAAACAGTACTTGGGGAACTACAATATTGTAGCGGCTAATGATCATCACCGCTTTATTAATTAGTATGATCCGGACCACTAAACTAAGCCACGAATACTCCAGCAATATCTACAAACACGAATTTACTGTAATTGCCAGTGCTAGTTTGAGTTAAATAGTAGCAACACTAATTTCAAGAGAGAAAAGAATGCTTTTTATCTCTCAAAATGTATCTGTTATATTGTTCAAAAACTTTGAAACAAAACCCTTTCAGGTAGAAACAAAGTACTTTTATTCACCAATAACCCTAGACAAAACACAAACATCGTGTAGAAAACCAACGGATTCATCAGTTGCGTCGATTGATGTGAAAAATTGGCTGCACTCGTCTCGCGTTAAGCCAGATGGTAAGGAGTCCAGCTCACCGTCTACAAGTGGATGACGAAAGCATTTGATTAGTTAAATCACGAAATGCTTTCAATTATTCTATTAGCAGCTAGAACTTGATACAGAAATACTCTAAGTTTACTTAACGGAAACGAAGTAACTGGAGAGGTTTGTGATGAAGGAGGCTGAAATACGATATGGTTATTACCTCTCAGGTATCAGCACGCCGCGCACATAAAATACACTACTACTCGGTTCGACGACATGAAAGCAGTACAAGGGCCTTAGAGCTATAAATACTAGAGTTGAATCGCACGTCCAAACAGAAACACCAACCTACATACCTAAAGACTAAAATTCCAAATGCTTAACCTAGCAAATCTTTAAATGTACTTAAGAATTTGAAAACTAGTACGTGCCATCTAATTCTTGCTTAAGAACAGAATTAGTGCAACCCAAAATCGCTAGCTTCAAACCCACCTTGTTTGCTGACCACCTTTGAATTGATTGTAACCTCCTTGCTGCAACACAATCCAGTTCTCCATGGAGTCTCACGGGAGCTTCCTCTCCATATTGAGTATACAACTGGGAATCGGTGTGACGAGTCGCAATGTGCCATACCTTATCTTTTTCCAATAGCGACCTAACTAGCTTCTCAACATTAGCATCAAGCGGCTGGGAGTACAAGGCAATAGCAGAATAACTGATTTGTATATTTTACAGCAAGTGATAAAAAGTTGTCAAAATGCACTAGGCGTTTGGTATTGAAATAACAAAATTAACTTTAGCGTTGCCAACCATTACCGGAATATGGAGCAGGACGGGAATACTGTGCATTTGCAGGTGTCGCTCTCATTGGACCACCACCATAGGCTTGTTGCTGATAATTGCCGAATCCATCGGAAGCATTAGGCCAACCACCTGCAGGGCAACCTGCATCGTAACCACCATAACCTGAGCGTAATGTTAGCGACAAATCTGGTTACTTACCATAGCCTGCTCCGTTATAAGCATAAGGCTGTTGATGTGCGTAAGGTTGATTGTAACCCTGATCCCATGACTGAGGCTGGAAACCTCCGTTTGCATTGTCGTGCCATCCACCACCGTTATAATCTGCTCTCATAGGTGCAGGTTTTGACCTCATTTTATTCATTTCTTCTCGGCTGAGTGCTTTTCGTACATCTGCCTTAGAGTCTTTGATAGTATGTGGTCGAGCTAAAATAACTTTGTCTACTGCATCTGTGTCATCAAACGTAACGAATGCGAAGCCCCGGGATGTATTCGTATCTTTAGCTATAACAATCTGTGCATCAGTTACGGTCCCAAACTGAGAAAAGTAATCACTAAGATCTTCATTTGTTACATCCTTCTTTAAAGCACCTACAAATATTTTCTTTACTGCAGCATGAACCTCAGGACTTGTTTCCTCTCTGGGCATGGCACGCTTGGTATCCACCTCCTTTCCATCTACAGTATGTGGGCGATTGTTTTGTGCAGCGTCAACGGACGAGGAATCCTTATATGTCACAAAACCAAACCCTCGAGATTTCTGAGATCTAGGATCTTTCATAACGACAACATCAATGATTTCACCCCATTGACCGTAATAATTTTTGAGCGAATTCTCATCTGTTTTAGGACTTAAACCGCCGATGAACAACTTTTTGTCCTGGTCAGCCTTAGAATCAATAAACGGGCGCATCATGCTAATATACCTAGACAAACATAACAACAGTACACGATGGGAACCAACCTTTAGACAAACGGACCAAAATGGCGCCAGAGGTGATGTACTACAAGCGGATGTTAAAATAAAAAAACAAATCAACTTTTTTTATTTGCCATTTTTATCCACTTTAATATGTTTCTGAAATTGATACTGTTGATATTATCATCTTGGTGATGTTTGAGCTGTCCTGATGAAAGTGATAGTTCGAACAAATGAAATATACTTCTACGAGTAATTTAATGATTAAATTCTCATGAGTGCTTTCTTATGGTTCATTGAAATGGTCCTTCTGCCTGTTTTCAAATGATATGCATTATAACTGCCGACCAATCACGTGTTAGGAATCGCCTACCTTTCATTCACGTTTATGTGCACCACATTGTTGTTGTATTATCAACTAATCCATGTCTTCCATAGCTGTTCAAACAGAGGAGACAGCTAATGAAACTATTGTCGATTCTTCTCTCTGCAATGTTCTCTTCACCCAGATTTTGTCTATCCTAGATGACGAACAGAACAAATTTTATTATGATATATCAGAAAGCTATCTTAATTTTCCTCATAAATTGACTACCAATACTGGTGATGGATGTAACACAAATGGAATATTTGAAGTCCAAGAAACTTATATAGACGTGAGTGTTCAAAATCTCAGTTTTTTCGATTAGCCTGTGTATTACTGAATTGTAATTGATGTGTTCGAATGACCAGTTTATTTTCAAGCCTAAGTGCACTAGATCTCAATAATTAAGTTTTAGTAATTAGCTAGCCACGAAGTTATAGGTTACATGTTAACTTCACGTTTACGCTACTTCCTGTATCAGCACCTCTCAATGCGTGAAATTTTTAGCCCATAGAGAGTAGCCTAATATAAATCCAGCCATAGTTTCAAGCCAAAGTATATCGGGTTTTTTTGTCGTAAATGGTAATCTCTGACGTCTAACAGCCGATACATCGATAACTAAACCTCTGGTGTATTCTGTAGATCTTGCAAAGTACGGAATTAAGTGTTTGATCCCACTAGCCATTATCTATGGGTTCAGGACCATCATAATGTAATTCTATTTTCAGTTAGCAATGGATAAAGTACAGGATATTTTGATTCAATTCGAACGATGAGAACTTTTGTGTGACCTTATTTTTTAACCATGTTTACTAGTAGGATCTTTGCTAAGAATTGAGTTCGATGGTCTTACTGGATGAATAAATATTGTGAAAGTTAATAGTCAACCAGCCGGTAGTCAGTTCACAACTCACAACTTCACCATTCCGGTGGGGCATATATCCAAAAGTAATTCACATTATCAACCAACGTGAAATCTGTAATCGAGCTGCTTTGAACATTTCTATGTGATAAGATAAGTTTGTCTCTCTCTGTAGATATGGGCGACTGACTGCAGTGATATTCTTATGGGTGAATAATAACAGTATTTAATGGAGCAAGTGTATAATTAGCTTGGTAGCTAGACATTCTAACTCTTATCTCAAGACTCCTAACGATTATAGCGTAAGCTTACTATTCTCCACAGGTTTCCAAGTCCAGACTGATAATACCCTTTCGTCATTATCTGTCTGTAAGGTGTAAATTCAACGCTTTTTTAGTAAATACATTCTCCTTCTTTTATCAGGAAAGTATCCAAATCAGTCAGCGGGACTGAATGGTGTTTGTTAAATGCCGGACCTAAGCATTTTGTATCTTTCCGATCATATCAATAAAATAGGCTATCATAATTTGTATATAAAAGTGGTAGTGTTACGGGACTAACAGTATTTACATGCAGTCTTAAAACTGCATGGATTTCAGCACAGTGATTCTCTGCATTTAAATATATTTTTTCCACTAACTTGAAATCATAACACCGACTCAGCTTCTGAGACTGTTGTTCTTCCAATGAGAAATGGTGCTTTGCCATTTATCCTTAACTTCGTTACTCAGTTCCTTGGGAGTCTTCTTTAGGGTATTACAACATCACTTAATTTCACACACTCAAAGTAATGCTGTTTTTCTTTCAAGAAGATTCGTCAATAACAGGAGAAATACATAGCCTTGCAGATGCACACTTTTATCTTCTGGATCGGACTGGACTAACTCCATTTCGGCCTACAATCCGAATGGCTTCAGCCTGTCAGTCTAGTGTAACTGTATCTGGGCCTAATTATAGAGTGGTGGTAGATACATTACGCTACCCATTTCGAATTGCAACTCTAAGAGTCTGCAACCTCCAACACCTGTCTCTCCAAGTCCTTAACATGGTATGATTTGATCCTCTTCGGGGTGCTAATCCTACCTTCAGCAAGACAAGGATTGAGCAGATTCCAGTATCTGTTGTAGCGCATATGTAATGCACTGCCGCTCTGTGTCTTGTTTTTAGGACAATACTTAAGATACGAATCTCCACACCTGACTGACTTATGTGCAGCACCAACATACAGTGTGCGAAAGTTAAAGTGACTGTTTCCTGTTCTTTTTACATCACTTTGAAACCAAGTGGTTGTCAGAAGCACTATATTTGATTATGATTCTTACGGTTTTGTACTGTGATTGAGGATCGTAGTCCAAATGATAATCATTGACAACGCACCAAGCTTTTTAATCTCGCCAATTGCAGAACGGTTCATAACTCATAAAGTCAACTATGCTCCTATTTCGTGCTTATTTGCACACAGCAGATCAGCATTGAACTTATCAACAGAATCTCGAAATTACCCATTCCAGCATCCATAGTAGTAATTTCATAGGAACGACATGGCGATGCTTGTAATTACAGGATACAATGAAAAGGCGTAACACACTGAACCAAGAATAGTCGTTCACAGTCAAGTACGGATTCGTTTCTAGTACCATAGTCTGCTACTTTGTAAAGGTTACTTAGTATTAATGCTCGACGTGATATCTCATGGAATTAACTCGTCCTACTACATGCATCATAAGCAGGGAACTCTTAGGAGACTAGAGAAACATCTCACCTCCTTGGGTATAAGTATTCTCATAACTTCTTAATGCTGGTTTTACACTATAATCAACTCGCAGTTCTGAGTAAGGTGTTTATCGACAACTTACTCATCAATGTTTAAACTTTGTATTCAAATGATTCTATTTTATACAAGCTTACTAAAATCCCAGTTTAATTACCAACCAAAATGGTTATCTAATTTGTTCTGTACACTCTGGACCAGTTTATACGTCTACTCCCATATTATCGCTAGTTTTCACGACGCGAGGGTCCTCCGAATCGGAATTTGAAACTAATCTATATAAATTATTCGAAGCTCAAAAACACCACTCAAACAAAAAAAGAAGACAATAGAAAAAAAGTAGAGTTAAGATCTCAGGAGCTTCCCTTCGATAGGGCAGACTGTAAAGTTCTGAAAATCTTGAGTTCCAAATTTATGTTCTATACAACCCAATATTCTAATTCGCTAAAAACTCATCGACGGATTGACGAAATCACAGCAGTTAGGTGATAAAGTGTGTGATGATGAATAGCTCAAACCCCTATGCAATCATGTCAAAAATAAGGATGTTCCTACCAAGTAGAAAACGAAGTTATATCTCGAAAGATAGAACACTTTAATTCACTTTAAAGTGAATGACCAAAACGGTCAACAACAATGGATGCTTCTAAAAATGAGAAATGAAGTACTGTGACAAGGGGGTCAATTAAACCAATCATTTCAGAAAAAAACAATCAAACGGCTACAAGCCACTATGACAGCTGCTAGTATATAACGTTAAATAAAACAAAATTATTGTTAATAAAAACGGTACAAGTAAGGTGACACATTATGAAATTCAGGAGGATATGGAAATTGGGTGATAAAATTATCCTTGTAAACTAGAAATGAGAGTGATACACGTCAGTAAACAGTGTTAAGGAAGGTCATATAAGGGGATTCAGTGACACTAGAGCCAAATGCTAATATTTCGAAGCACCCATTTAATTATCACGGGCAGTCCCTTACAAGAACTATGAATTGTAAATGTTAGTTGTCACGCCATTAACTTAGAAAAAACAAGATCAGTGACTTTGTGTTTCTCACTGAAAATTGGGTAAGTTGAAGGACGAAGGCATATAAGTTTCGATGAGTTTGGATTTGTGATTGGACATGATGTGGTGTAGAATCCAGATATATGTAAGTCAATAATGAGGCCCATTAATAAAATTGATTTAATACAGCAGGACAAAGCGATACTGACCACAAGTTGTGTTAAACGTTATACTCAGGAGAACCCATATAGTGTGTTGAAGAAGGCATTGATCGAAGGAATGATTTCCTTGATCGTACACGGAAGTGGATGAGTGCGAGACTAGATTGTTGATCATCGATCGGATGGCTGGAGCGTTTCATTTGAGTGATACTGAAGAGTGACATCTATGCTTAACTGAACTTCTCAGCCACTTAGGTTCAGTAAATCAATTTGGGTTAAGATTAAATTAAACTATTTGTTTTGAGGAACGTCATTACCGTGAAATTCTCTTAGTAGGCTTTTTAAACTAAGTACAACAAACATCATGCGATGAAGCAAGGTCTTTTTCATGTGCTTTGCAATTTTAACATACACAGGGACTCGTATAAGCTGAAAAACTGCGATATAGTTGTAATTTTATAGGCCAGTAAAATAAATTACTTCGTTAATTAGGAAAAATCGTAATATTACTATAGCATCTTCATAAAAGTTCAGTTTATAAATGTTGTTACGGGAGGTGTCCGAAATCTGACAGTGACATGCTGTATGCTACGTTTTGACTCCCAATCTGACTAATTGAGCGAGGTGTAATGGTCTACCGAACAAAATACACAAATACTCATCCATACATATACCACTCTAATACTTGGGAAATTGACCCATTCCTTAGCTAACGAAATTCACTCGTCTATTAGGTCACTTCTGGCTGCCATTTACTGACCTCATTAGGCTGCTTCTGATTGGCTCCCAATGTTAATCAACACCAGAATTAATAAGGGAGATAACGATAAAACTGAGTACAAATGAAATGTGAATATGGCTGAGAACGGAGTAAATGAAACGATAAAACCGTTAATTATTGAAAAACAGTAGTAAAGTACCACAATGATGGTAGCAATAAAAATGTTAGTAAGTAAATAAAAGGTTGGTTGGGTCGAACTCAAAACCAAGA